CGGCGCAACGACATCAACGAATATGTGCATGCATCCATGGCAGTTGGCACGGAGAAAATGTAGTGTCAGCTGTGTGGTTGCTGACCTCGTTGCCTGATGGGTCGACCGGCCATAGTCTGATCGATCGATCAGCTAGCTTCCATGCGTGTGCAGTTGTTGCACAATGGCCATGTGTATTATTAATTTACATTACAATAGTCAAGCACTCAAGCGGTCAAGCCCGATGATAAGACTTCATTCATCATTGTACGATCGAGATAGAAAAAATAAGCAGCGGTAGAGTTGAGGATCGGAGCAACCCCCTTCATCTTCTTTGCGTCACTCCCTTGAGCAGTTGAGCTTTTATGACTCTGCTCCTCTATCTTTTTTTTTTTTGAGAAATACACACTACAATGTAGGAAGGGCGGGTCTGGTGCAAGCAGTAGAGTCTTACCGCCTGTGACTGGAAGGTCCCGGGTTCGAGTCACGGTCTCCTCGCATTGCACAGGCGATGGTAAGGTTTGCCACTGACACCCTTCCCCAGACTCCGCACAGAGTGGGAGTTCTCTGCACTAGGTACGCCCTTTACACAGTACAATGTAGACGCCCACAACATGCACATGCACTCACGACTATGAACACACGCCTCGCTCCGAGCACTGGTGCCAAGTCCCTCCTCTATCTTTGTTTGTCTATGTACATATCCATAACTACACTTTTTTTTTTAAAAAAAAAAGAAAACTATAACTGCACTTATATTGGGATGGAGACGTAGATGCCAAATAAATTTGCTACACGAGGAAGATCGGCCCATTGGACAGCACTTATAGGTTGCTGAAGGATCAAAAGGGATTGATTAGCTGTGGTTGCTGAAGGATCAAAAGGGATTGATTACCATGGCAGCTGTGGTAGAAGTTGGGCTTTGAATGTTGCATCCAGTTTTTTTTTTTAGAGGAAATGTTGCATCCAGTTTGACGGAGCCCATCGATCATTCTCTCTCTCTCTCTCTTTATCGGGGAGCCCATCATCGATCGCCTATCATGGGAAAGTGTATGGCAGGAAACTTAGAGGCTTGTGGGCTGCAAGGAAATAAAGCTAGGGGCCTCCTAGCTACGGCCCATCAGGCAGCTTGGCCTAACTAGAATCCCCGCTTTAAACTAACTAGTATAGTAACTATTCTAACGTCATTTCTTTATTTGAGGGATACACATGAAAACAACCAAACTACGGTGGTATTTCGTCACATAAATAGAGTACAACAAGAATTTGTCCTGTACATATGCCAATATGCCATTCAGAGAATGTGTATTCTACAGCTATATGTAACCAAAAAAAAAAAAACATCAGAAACATTTAGCCAGCTATAAAACATAAATTCTCAATTCTAGCTACCGTTACTGATCTGCCAATGTTGTCTTCTTGCTTCAAGTGATGACTGACCTTTTGAACCTGCAATGGCTATATACTCTATCAGTACTACAGATTAGTGAAAACATAATTAAGTTGAATTAAGAACGACAAGTTTAGAAGCTTAGACAAAAGGTAGGCGTCTACATTTAAGGGGGCCTTATTCTTTGAACACACCAATAATTACATCAGCATAGATTGCATAAGTCTCGGTGTACTGCATAAGAACTGAAGTTAAGGCAGTGTGATTACTACAATGGTGGTCAGAGGAATATATTCTTGCAAAAAGAAAAAACAGGTTGTCGGCTTCATCATGTCATAGTGAATCACATTCATGGAGTGCATGTACTCCAATGCCATTCAAGTTAGAAAAAAAAGGAATTTCCCTTACCAGATCTCTCCTACAAACTGTGTGCAGTTCTAACTATATGAAGTAATGAAGAATATGCTTTGCTTCTTGCAATTGCACATAGTAGCAGGTAGTTTGGTTGCTTTCAAATATTAGTCTTACAAAATAAATAATTCATAGAATCTCTGGTAATGGAAGTGAGACAGATAATGAAATTTCTGCGATCATGCAAGAGACATACAGATAATTTACCTACATAAGGTGTTAGTAAAAACAATACATTCTAATTCAGCGGTTTTGAGATGTGGCTAAAAAAATGGCAGGCCCTCTAGTACGGCAATATGGCAATACTTTCTATGGCACATAGTTGGGGAGCATTCAAGATTTTTTAGCAGACCTTGCCTATTTCCCATTAACCAAACAACCACTACATTTTTTAATCTCAAATAGTATACTGCAAGATAAAAGGACTTGAGCTATCTTATACAACAATCTAATACAAATGCCCTAACACAAATATTGTCAAATGACACAGGCTTCTCAACAGACCTTGGTTTGAATTGTACGGGACCCATGGAGCTTCTTGAAATGGCTATCCCTCCAGAACACCCAAGCCTCGGATCTCCTCTGGCCCTTCCATGCTTGCGCTGAGATATATGGATCATCTGAGCCATTTCAACAAACACGTCGTGTGCAGCAAGGAGATATAGCACACATACATCAAAATGTCTAGCATCTAGGTCTGGTGGAAGGTGAAATCGTGGAGATAAAGAGGCTAACCATGGGGGAGGAGGCAGATCGATGGAGTCCCGTGTCGCTGATGTAGGTGTCATGTGTGTGCCGTGTCTTCCATCCTCCTGCCGCGTGACCCACCGCGCGGGCGGCTCGGTGCCACGGAACGCCTCCACGGCGGGCTCCTTGGATGGGAGGACATCAACGTGGCTGCGTGTGGAGGAGCGTGTGGCAGTGCGGAGGAGCTTCCCCACACCAGCGTCGGAGGGATGGGAGCGCTAGGGTGGCGTCTAGAAGAAATAAATCATAAACCAAAGACTGTGGTAACGCTACGGTAAATACAAAACAAGATAAAATTTGTATAACCAAATATTTTAACCATATAAAAAACAAGACTGCTAGCTTCTAAATTTAATGACATGCATATCGCAGATGAAATAATCCAAAGCATTTACGATGTAATAAAATTCAGGATAGCCATTAAGTGAAAATTCAGGATAGCAATTAAGTACACCTGATTTCTTTTTGTTATGAAAATCTGCTACTCCAGGTCATTGTTCCCTTCACCCATCACAAACTCACCCGGAATGAATTGAAGTACAACACTGTTGCAAGGTTCACCAAACTACCTGCAACAACTCCCTGGATGACAAAGAGCAAGACCTAAGACACATTATGATGATATTGAACTTCTGAAAAAAAAGGTTGTGTATCAAAGAAAGAAAACAGTTTCATGATATAAGGGTTGTTTCACTTGATCAGATTTCTCGCATTGAAATTGCAGGCACCCAATGTCAATTTTTTTTAACATTTAGGAGTAGATTTCAGTGTAGGCTAACCGAATTTGCCTGGACTTAGCGTCATCCAGTGGACAAGTTTGCTCTTGTATTTTCTGGTTCAGCACGAAGTAACATAGAAAAAGTTAAATAATACATTAATAATTCTGAACTCACACATCCAATTGTTATCTGTACAGCGGCAACTCTTTGAAATGCTCATTCCGATTCCAGTGTTCTGACAAGAAGCCTGAGATCACCTTGCTCCTTTAAAAAAGCAGTTCATTAAATCTTTTCAACTCTGTCGGGTTGGCGGAACAAATTGTAAAAGGCATGAGACTACCTTTCCCATCTCTTCTTTGCATCTTGACATAATATTGCAATCAAGAGCACTTAAAACTCTCGGTATGAAAATACTTCGGATATGCCATCACAACTACTTCAACACCGGCTGCTTCATTAAATCTTAGCAATTCCATGGCATATCTAGCAAATTTAACAGACATGTCAAGTTAGCACCAGAAAAGGTCAAGCTGAAAACAATAAGATGTACAAAATAAAGCGAAGATGTGCAAGGTTTGCATGTTTTTGAAGAAGTATTGAGATGGTAACGGTAGACATTTCGGACATATAATTTAAAACCAAGGCAATACACAATATTTGTTTTGGCCGTCTTCTATATGAGATAACATAAGATCCAAGCTAAAAATGAATTGTAGAGTGATTATATTGATGGATACATAGAACATTGGTCTGCTGTGCATGAATTGGCCATCATATCATCCAGTAAAAAAGCTAAAAAGCTGAAAATATATTGATGGATCTCTCAAGGCATAGATATATTCACAGATTCATTTTGTTAGCTTGCTTGACATCGCACTGAAACTCTAAAAGTAAAGGCGTGACTAATTTAATTGATACCACACCAGGTCGAAGTGGCGAGGTCGACATAGCCCGGTGAACCTTTACTCGGCCGTCTGTAGCGACACATACCGTAGCCGTAGCATGAGGCGAGCCCGGATTAATTCACATTGGCAAAGCTACCTACGAGGCTCTGACATAATTCTTCAGATTAGAAGGATCTGACTGTTCGCCTTGCATTAGCAGGAATCCATTCAGGACTGCAAATAGCAACACACGTTACAGCTAACATAAACCATGTCTGTATTGTCGATCACATTTGAAATTCTAGAAACAGGTATGACAAAACACAAGTATACAAGCATCATTTCTTGCTACAGGGACTATGTTTAAAAGGCACAAGGTGTTGGTGAAAAACTGAAAATGCATACAGAATGTTCAGACAAAGGCTATCATGCTTAGTGCTTTGACCTATGGAGGGTCGTGCCACAGAAACCCTCCTGCAGGTGTACAAGGGCACGCAGCCAACATACATGAGGAGAACTTCTGCAGATAGCTGATGTGCCCTTTTGAGAAGTCTAAACACAAATACATCACATGCATTGGCATATCATCGAACATGTTCTGAGCATGGAAGCTTTAACAAATGGATACAAAGCCTGAAGCTACCAAATTTACCTGCACGGAGAGCTGGTGCACGTGGATCATGGAAAGCATGAAGCAGTTTGGAGAAGCCGAGTCGCCGTCCCCATTCGCGATAGCCGCTGCCTCCCACAGTGCCGGCACCTAGAGCCACGCTGGAATCGCGGGCAAGGGCGCGGGTTTAGGTAGGTTTTGACGGGGAAGATGGCCGGAGTGGGAGACGGAGGCGCGGCCGAACATGGAGCCCGCTCCTCATGGCTCCGCCGCCGGCCGCAACCCTATCCTCCGGGCGTTCCGAGAGCAGGAGAGGGAGGCGTTGTTCGGGGAGGGAGAGGGAGGCGCGGACGGCAGGGGAGCCTGCGCTGGGCGCAGCCGCCTCCGGTCGAGACCCTAGCCGTCCGCCGGACTTGGAGAAGGAGACGGAGGCGCTCGCCGAGGACGGAGACAGGGGCGCGGTGCCGGTCGGAGTGGAAGAGGGAGGTGCCTGCCGGAGAGGGATGCTGTGGGCGGAGAAGCCGGAGAGGGAGGTGCCGCCGCCGGCTAGTCGCGAGTTGCGACTCCCGAGAGGTCGCGAGTGAAGGGGAAGAGTCGCCCGTGGCTCTCTCTCCCCAGAGGCCGGGCGTAGTCTCTTTTTTTTCAGGAAATCGGGGGAAAAAAAGGGCACCCAGGGATCGAACTGTGGCCGTCGGCAGAGGGAGGGAGTTGCGCGCGAGGTGGACGTGGGATGAGAGATGAGCGATGAGGTTTGATGCAGAGAATCTGGTCCGTTGGGTTTGAGTGAGTGAGAGAATTGAGTGAGCGAGAGAAACAAGAGGTCAGAGTGGATCTTATACGTTCGTTTCAAAAGTTGGTTGGCTTTGGGTGCATTTTTCTAGGCGCACTTAGAAAAGTTGATGACTGTGGTGGACAGATTTTGATGTAGGGAAAAACATTCAGAAACACAACATCCTCATGGTTAAATAGATATGTAGTGTTATTATAGTACTGTACCAATTTTTGGATTCATGGTCACAGCGATTTTTTAGTTTAGGTGGTGGTCAACGGACCCACATTGTCATCCAGATTTGCAGCCTGGAACCTAATATCTGTCAGACTGTCACCCACAAACGGACCCACATCTTCGTTGCAAATTTCAGCAGCATTTTCCATGCTTAGCGTAGTGTACACAATCATCAAATGCAGGCTACTTCTCCCTTCAGCTTCTATCACAGTCCATTCTCTGCATCCATCACCCTTTCATTTTCTGAAGAAAAATTGGCAGATTTGTGCCATGCTTGGGCAAGTACTGTGTCCTAGAAACTAAAAAGCTCTCTTGCCGAAATATTGGCTAGCCCATTAATCATGGAACAACATTATCACAGATGCAGAAACCACTAATCATATATTATATCAAAGGGTCCACAAGTTCTAGAGCAGTAATGCGGAATGTAGACAGCACCGCTAATTTATTACAACGCGCGTCTCAAGTATCACTACCGACGACACCAAAATGAAGCAAGACGCAACAAGGGCGAGTCTTGACTTCATGCAAGACCTAGTGATAGCAAGCACGCCTTCAGCATTTTGCCAGGGATTCTTTATTTTTGGCGGTGAGTTCTGGGAAGCATCCATCAGCATAGAAGCCTCGTAGGAGGTTCCACAAGTTCCTGAAGGTGTTCCTCCGTTGTTCGCAACTTGTCCATCTTACCTGCATTAGCCAAAGTAGCAGAAAAGGTGTGGATCAGATGGTAAAGTACAATGCAGAAGGTAAAGTGATTCTTTACGCTTCAAACAGCCTAATACTGCTGCATACAAATATTCCCCTGAATCGTTTTCTGTTAGCATTCCATCAATGCCCCATCCTCCAAGGTCAGAGAGATGTCTCAAAGAACACACGTTTTCATAGGGCGTTCTATCACAAGACCACAGAAATCACAATAAATAAAGGTGCTTCCCTTCCATATAATGCATACACAGAACACGACTCTCATCTACAAAAGCCTCAATAAGAGGTAAGACTGAAGTAAGAAAAAAAATTTATGTGTGTTTGATGATTTATTAATTGCACACCTACACCAGCTCCCTGGACTCCAAAGTAACAAAAATCTTGGCCAAGCTCAGGTAAAAGGAACATGTAGTTTTCTTCTAACTACTGAAACATGTGGTTAACGAGCTATAACCATGCAAAGTCTAGGAGAGATATTTCAATTTTGCTAAGAAAATGTCAAAGTGTTTGTTTTATCTATTGATAAAGCTTACAATAAAAAAAAAGGGTCGATATGAGTACCTTCAGAGAAAAGCCAGGTTGCAGGGATGTATCCACTCTTCCATGATACCATCCACAAGAGAGAATAGACCGTCCCATCTTTCATGTCATACAGACCACAATATGTTGTCGTTTTCAGACACCGGCCATCACTGTGATTAGAGTAATCATCCATGAAGAAGATACAGTCCCGTGAAAGATCATATGGAGATACATGGACAGCTGAGGAGCACCCTCTCCCAATGAACAAAGCTACTTCATTCCCTAGACTCCTCACTTCAGCCCACAACAAACGCTTCAAGTCTGCCTCGTGCACTTGAAAGTCGCTCACTATGCTCCATGGTAACTTCTTTTCCAGACATGTATACCGGATATCCTTTGGAGTTCATTTTTCTGCGTACCATCAGCAATGTCCCATGGGATTCAAGGAGGCAGAGCATAGGCGCGGGATAGCTTTGGGGTGGCTGGGGATCTCCCTCAATGATGCGCTCAATACGAGATACCTTTGGCCTATCATTGTCAAGCTCATCCACGATGTCAATGGAAAGAAGGTCCTCAGTATTAGTGTCAATAGCATAGAGCTTCCCTTGGAAGAAGACCATATCTGAGAGCCACATGCACTGCTCATGTGCACTCACTGACCATGCAGCAGCCCCTGGCCTGCATAGTGCAATTGTACCAAGGCCACTAATAGCAACTATCGCAGCAATGAGGTGTTTGGAGCACACAATCAGCGTGATTACAGATATATCAGCTAGGTCCTTGATATCCATCCATGTGACCGGCGTCTCATCAGCAAGGACATTGACAGTTTCTACATGCTCATCATAGCAGATATATGACGAAGATAGGCTGGGAAGCTGCACAGTGGCATTGGTGAAGGGGTTCAACATGAAGCAGCTGTCGTCATCCCGGGATAAGAGAAGCCACTCACCACAAGAGTTGTGGTAACGAGTAGCATCGGGCAAGTGGAAAGTTTGATCATGAGATAATCTGACAATGTTGCCTCCTGGAAGCACGGACCAAGGCATTGGCGACATGGGTGGTAGGTGCCACTGCCTCATGGAAGAGCGCCATTGGCGGCAGACAGCAGGGAAGTGCGCGCGGTCAGCACGTGTAGGGAGGCGGAGGAACACAAGCCTAAGGAGCTCTGGCGAGAGGTCTGACCATGTCACTGTTGGTGAGCTTGATGGTTGCTCCATCTGCATTTAGGATTAGGACAATCAGACAACAAATAAAACAAAGGAAAGAGGCATGTAAAAATAGAAACAAACACTGATGGGCATGCAATATTCTTTCTTTTTTGAAGCCGAACAGGCAGGAGTTCTGCTGTTCAATTGATTAATAACAAGGGGCAGTAGATTTAAAGGAAGAAACAAAATGCCGAGGCAAAACAAGAGCTCAAGAGACAAAAAGCTCCATCCAGCTAGGACTACATGAAGTACACTACGCTTGTGGTTAAGTTCTCTCATGCTATTTGCACCATCCAGACACCATGCCCTTGCCTCATCCTTTATCTTCGCCAATAGCATCATGACAGGGACCTCGATCTTTCTAAAGATTCTTGCATTGCGCGTTTTCCATTGTTTTCAGGTCGCAGGAATGATTAAAGAACGAATTGCTTTACTTGGAGCACCAATCGATTTCCTTGCTTCCTTCCACCATTGATGGGTGTTGCAATGAAAACTTTTAAATCCTTAGTTATGCGAACAAGGATTTAACCACCCAAACCCGCAACAGCAGTTAGACAAACAACTGACCACTACTTTCTCCTGCTGTTCCTAAAAGTCATGGTCTGTGCATGGTAACCAACCACTAATTTCTGTTCCATTACAGTACAACAATCAGCTCAAAAATACCCTCGATTAATGATTCAGTAAATAAAATCTCACACCTGTTGTTTCAGCATATCAATTCCTCATCATAGGGTTCAGTACTTCAGTCACTAATACCCTATAAAACAATGTTCAATATCCACCATTGTACCGACTAAGCCAACACCACGGCCTCGTAAAACAATAGTATTTAGTAGGTAGCAGTTTAGAATTGCATGCCATATGTGTGTATTGATATATTGTGGATTTTAATGGCTGAACATTGGATTGAGCCATACTTACAGTTCTATACGCTATCCCCACTAACCATCTCAATGGAAATGTTGCACATAGGAGCTATATAAGCAGGAGGTTTGAAGCAGGAGCAATAGTTTAAAAAAAATCATATTCCAGTGCCCCCAGATAGTGAGTAATGACATCAAGTAAAGTATATATGGTGCAAGAATCATAGCTACTACTTCTGAATGTCTGACCCTACTAAAGAAGTACCAAAAGATAACACGATATCTCCAGAAATACACCAATAGTAGAAGAACACATTAAGCAGATACAGGTCCAAGCAAGGTCGTGCTGTATCCAACCACACTCAGAATCCACTACCGGATACAGGATCTTTGCCAAGTGCCAGGGGCACTCGGCGAAGCCCAAAAAACACTCGACAAAGAGTTTGCCGAGTGTTACACTCGGCAAACAACACTTGGCAACCCCTGTATCGGCAAACGCTTGTTTGCCGAGTGTTTTTTGTCGGGCACTCGGCAAAGACGTTGCCAAGTGCCCAAAAAACACTCGGCAAACTTTTTTTTCAAAAAAAAAATAAAAAAAGACACGCCGGCACCACGCCCGCACCACCAGCACCGCCGCCGCCACCACCATCCGCGCCGCCGTCCCCTCCGCCGGAGATCCACCGGGAGGGAGGAAGAGAGAGAGGGTGCGGGCGGATCTGGGGAGGGAGGAGGAGAGAGAGGGTGCGAAGGAGGAGAGAGAGGGCACTAGCGGTTCTGAGGAGGAGAGAGAGGGCGTGGCGGGGAAGAAGAAGGGGACTGTGGGTGGTTCTGAGGAGGAGAGAGAGGGCGTGGCTGTTAAGTAGATATTTTTGATGTTCGCTGAGTGTCTTAGATGGGGCACTCGGTAAAGTTTTTTTTTTCATTTTTTTTCTTCTCCTTCTTTTTCAGAAAAAAGAATGTATTTTTGTTTGCTAAGTGTATTTTTTAACACTCGGCAAATAACATGTTTGCCGAGTGTATTTTTTTAATACTCGGCAAATAACCTCTTTGCCGAGTGTTTTTGTTTTGACACTCGGCAAAACGTCCTGTTTGCCGTGTGTTTTTTTTTTTTTTTGCCGAGTGTTTTTAGAGCGGCACTCGGCAAAGAGCCTGTTCGCCGAGTGTCCGAGAAAATACACTTGGCAAAGATTAAAACACTCGATAAATTTGAGGATTCTAGCAGTGATCCCACCCGATCTACTCGAAACAAATAGGAGTCGGCATTAAGTCAGAATACCAAAAAGGGATCTTTTTTCCAGACCTCGTCCTTGAGCATGTGGAGGAGCTTGGTCTTGTCGACGTTATCGAGGCCGAGGAAGAAGATCTTGGCCACCTTCTGGCGCAGCCCCAGCGAGGCCAGCACGCCGTAGAACCAGTCCAGCAGGAACATCTTTGCCCGAGCCTGCGGCGGCCGGCTGCCGCCGGCGACCTTCCTCCCTCACTTTCTTGCCTGACAAGAAGACAGCGACTAGGATCTGCTAAGGAGGGAAGGGAATTCCAACGGGAACCCGGGGTTTTAACACAGGGACTATGGCAAAACTCCGGACCGGTCCCAGGCGGAGACAATGGGGTGGGTACAGGAGAGACGGCGCTCAGGCGGAATGCTGAATCCGGTGACCACGTGGCCTGGCGCGGACAGATCCAACGGCAATGGGAAGGTGGAGCCGACGAGAAGGCTAGGGGGAGTGAGCTGGTGCGGTGAGGTCGCGAGGACGGGAGGGGTCGCCGGAGCCCGAGTCGGAGCACGTAGGCTGGCACCAATGAGATAGAATGGGACTTAAAAAAAATTACCTCCGCAAAAACGATATTCTATTCTTGCTATTTTCTTCGTCTTTTCAAATTTATTCTACTCTCTCGTTACACATTCAAATAGCACATTCCTAATTACAAATCTGCCATCAGAGTGAGAAGATTTCTTACAAATTTACAAAAAAAAACGCCATTTTTACTTACGTGACGTGTTAGGTCATTATGCTACTGTGGAGGCGTATTGCGAGAGGACCAAGCTGCCCTGGCCTCACCAGCATTACCCCACGCAACTCTTTTCTCTCTCCCCAGGGTGGAGACCGCCTTCGCCTCCTCTGTTGCAGATGGTGGAAGACTTTCATTACACGTGGACAGTGTTCATGTTTTTTTTTTTGAAACAGTAAAGTGTTCATGTGCGTGCGAACACCTTTTTAGGCAGTGGCGGAGCTGGTGAAAATCAACGCCTAAGGGCCACCAAGCCGCCTAAGCAATTCATAATAGGCCCTACTGATAATTCACACAGGCAACAAATAAAATAATAACTTATTCTGGCAAGCCTATTTTATTTGCAAAGTCGCATTCAGGCAAGCCTATTTTGCCGCATCAAATAACTTGAGCAAATTGCAAAAATATCCTGTTCTAGCATATAGAAAGATGAACTTATTCATATACCGCATTTTAGTACCACCTTAAACAGGCGTAGATCAATGAATAACAATAGGAACATTTAAAAAAAAGGATTATCTTCCAATGATCAATGGAGCAATCACCGTCTACTAACGAGTAATCAAGAAAATGGGTCATGCCTTAAAAAGGAGATTGGGAAAATTAGGAGCATGGAGTACCAGGCCTAAACATTAACATGCTTTGCTTGCTTCTCCCATCTAGCCACACGAACGAGTCGACACCGATTGCCGCCCACCAGGACACCCAATTGCACGGCGCACGACACAGGGATTGGAGAAATTTAGTCGCCGTCTGTTCGCCTAAAATCCAAGCATTGCACCAGCTCACCTCCAATCCAAGGATACGCCGCTCTGAATTCCAAGAGGGCTGCACGCCGCTTTGCTGGAGCTGCAAGCCATGCGGCTAGGGTTTGGACTTAGGCGAATGGCCGAGCCGCAGAGCAAGGGGCAACGGGGAAGGGGGTGCGATGAGACTATGAGAAGGCAGAAACTGGGCCAGGCGAGCGCTGCGAGCCTGTGACGAATGATTGCGAGCGCGTTTGCTGTCGCTGGGCCAACAGACTAGGGCCTCTCTTTTCTGGAACGGATTGGGCCAGAAAAAATAAGAGCGGTATAAGGAGTTCCTTGGGCCACGCCAAGGGCCATGGCCCTAGTGGCCCTAGGCCCAAATCCGCCCATGTTTTTAGGCGTTAGCCATGTTAAAAGTCGCATAGCCCAGTTTTAGCCCGCTCCACTGCGTTTTGATCCGTGCGCGCTACTTAGCACTTTGGATGTATGACTGAGTTTCACGTCTACACGTATCAATATTTTTGACGGCACTACTTAGATGGCTAACCGGCATGAAAACAAAAAACAACACCCTTAATTTTGTAGTCTCTGTGTTCCAAATTTTATATTATTACTTTATGCTTTGTCCTACCTCAACATTATTTGACGTTGACCAAGTTTGTAATAAAAATTATTAGCACCTATTAGTTGGAATGAATGTACAATAAAAACACATATCAAGGGGGATTTAATGAATGGTATGATCTTATAGATGTTCATGTATTTTCATAGATAATTAATGTGAATTAGAGAAATTTAACTTTAAATAAAAATGTATCCGTCCCAAAAAAACTTGATGTTTTAGGATTTAAGAAAATGTTCCTAAAAACTTGATGTTTTAGCTCTTAGGTAATAGACTGAGACCCATCTTGAGATTGTGATATGCATGTCTTCATACATTTCTTTTATTGAGGGGCTTACTTCTTAATTAGCATGATTTATCTTTAATAGATAGGGGTACATGAGTACTTCTCGTTGAGCACTAATGTATCTTTAAAAAAAATCCTAAAATGTTAAAGTATTTTTTAGACAAAGAGGGTACTGAAATAACCTATATACAGCCTGTTCGGTTGGCTGGTTCGTATCGTTGTTAGTTTGTTTATGTGAGAGAGAAGTACTGCTGTCTGGTTCATGTGAATAGTATCCATGTGAGGGGGCTGGCCAGCCAGCTCAGCAGATCGGGCTGATAATTTAGAAGAGAGGAAATATGAATTTTAACTGCACGCAAGTACTAGAAGATCCCTTCATCATCATTAGCCAGATATATAATTTAATTAATGTGGTAATGAAAAACCAATCCCATAGTTGCATCACCAAATTACTACGTGTACTGCACGCCCATCACCGTAAATATGAACAGAGTAAGTAAGCTCGGAATCGGATGCAGTGCAGTTTGAAGTTCGAAACCATCGTCGTGGTGGTGGACAACTGGACACGGAAACAAACCGTTTGAAAAGGGAAGGAGGAGGAGGCGCACAGGCCCTCACCCAAATACCCAATGCAGTGGGCCCGTGCGTGCGCGAAGCCTCAGCCTCCTCCCGACCGTTGCCCGGAAGCGGGCCATGCGTGTGTCGCCTGCAGCCCGCCACCATCCACCTTTGCCCGGTCCCCGTCCCCGTCCCCGTCCGCCTTCGTCTTGCCCATAAGTGCGCTCCATCCCTGTCTTTGCATCCGCTGGTCCTTCCCCTGACTTTCTCCTCTCTCTCTCCAACTCTCTGTGCGAACGACACACGGGAGCCGGGATGAGCAGCTAAGGACGAGCATGTCCCAACGCGCCCCAACCTGCAGCACCCCCGTCTATCGGCCCCAAGCACCTCTGTCCGCCGGCCTCCGACTCGCCCCCGGCCGAACAACATAAAACACTTCCAACGTGAAAGCAACATAAGGCTAAAAACAAATAAAACATTTGGAACATACTCTCATAACATGTGTGTGAAGCACATGAAACATCTAAAATAAAAACGCTGGCAACTTGTAACATGAAACCACTTGCTACAACATAAGACTGAAACATCTGAAACATTGGAACATGCTGTTTCAACATATGCAACATCCAGACAAAAACGATTGCAACATACGTTTAAAAAAGATGAAATATTTTGAACAAAATATTGCAACATGCCTTTAAAACACTTGTAACATATGCAACATGTGCAACATCCCTCGATCTACTTTTGCAACATCAAGATAAAACAATTACAACATTCATTCGAAACACCTGAAACACTTGAAAAAACATATGCAACATAGGGGAGGGGAAGGCCGGGCTGGTCGATTCTGGCCATCGGGGTCGGAGCCAGCGGTGAGCGTGGCGCGCGAGCACCACTAGCACCGCCCACGCTCGTGAGTGCCTTTGGCTCGGGCGGGGAAGGTCTAAGGTGCCACGACACATGCGCCCCAGCGGCCATGGCAGGGTCAGCGATGTGCGCGACGACGATGGGAGACGGACGGACGGATGGCGAGGGAGCGAGCGGCACATGTGTCTGGGACGGGCACGCGGCGCGGTCGACTATGGGGCACGGCGGCAGCCGACGAGAGCGCGGTGGGGGAAGGGCGCGGAAGAATGAGCAGCCACGTTGCATCGGGCGCTGGACGAAAAAGGATGAGCCAGTGGGAATTCGTTTTTCTGTTTCTGAGAGAGATGGAACCGCTCCTACTCAGCTGCGTGCGGACGGAAGCCACGGACGGATGACCGTGCCTTATAAGGCCCCGTTTGGCAGGGCTTCTCCACCAGCTTCAGGAGTCGTTTGGAGCCGTTTTCTGCCAAACGGGGTAAAGTGAAATAGCTTCACTGGTGAAGCCTCTAAAAATATGCTCTCACAATGATTTGGGGGTGGGATGGAGCAAAAAAAAAAAACAGCTTCTCCCGGATCCTTCTCTAGACCCCTAAAAACATGCTCTCACAGGGAAGTCATTTTGCCAAACGATTTACCAAAACCGTTTCAGCTTCACCGATGGAACTGTTCGTGGAGCTGAAACAAAAAAAAATAGCTTCGCTAGTGAAGTACCAAATGCGGCCTTAAGTTTGAACCATCTGCGTGGTGGTGGACACGGAAACAAACCGTTGGGAAGGGAAGGAGGAGGAGGAGGCGCACATGGGCTGTGCGCTGCGCTCGCCCTATGCAGAGTGGGCCCGCGCGTGCGCGAAAGCCTCAGCCTCCTTCCGACCGTTGCCCGGGAGCGGCCCATTTGGAATCCACTCCATCTCCGTCTCCCTCCCCATTTCTCACCCACGCGGCGGTGCGGCGGCGTCGCATTCACTCTCACATTTCGGCTCCCTTTCCCTCTCACCCCCAATTCAAAATCACCCCCCGACTCCTCCTCCCCCTCCCTATCCTCCCTACTAGGGTTTGCCTTTGCGGCGTCGCCCTCGCCCTCATCCACCACCACCCGCACCTCCAGCAGCTGGCGAGAGTTCGCGATCCGTGTTCGCGGGGGGAGGGCCCGGCCGGCGCGACCGACGCGACGGCGATGGAGATCAACATCGTGGACAAGTACGAAAAGCTGGAGAAGGTCGGGGAGGGGACGTACGGCAAGGTGTACAAGGCGCAGGACAAGGCGACGGGGCAGCTGGTGGCGCTGAAGAAGACCCGCCTCGAGATGGACGAGGAAGGGATCCCGCCCACCGCGCTCCGCGAGATCTCCCTCCTCAACCTCCTCTCCCACTCCATCTACGTCGTCCGCCTCCTCGCCGTCGAGCAGGCCGCCAAGAACGGCAAGCCCGTCCTCTACCTCGTCTTCGAGTTCCTCGACACCGACCTCAAGAAGTACCTCGATGTCTACCGCAGGGGCCCCGCCGCCAGGCCGCTCCCCGCCACACTCATCAAGGTGCTAAATCACTCTTACTTTACTCATTTCTTGTCAATTGTCGCTCGAGGAGTAGTTATTAGTTGGCTGCTCAGTTCACCCCTATCATCTGTAAAAAAAGTGATACATTTTGTAATCGGTTTTCTGAGCAATCGAGCGCTTCGTGATCAGAAATAAGTAGCCTGTGCGTTGCAAATCACATCCTTAATTTAATTCTCAGAACGGTACAGTCCTGATCAGAAGGAAAAAAGCCACATAAATGTCTACTGCTCATGCTCCAATCGATCTCTGCAATTGATCCCTCTTGACCAGAGCAAACTAGCCTGTGCATTACAAATGGTATTTTCAGCTCCGACAAAGGTGAGGATCTAACTGGATCATCATAGGTTCAAAACATTGGGCTCTATATATGTTGACCGACTGTAAAATCATAGCACTTAACTGTGAAATTGAATTCGGATGTTTTGTCTGTTCTCCTGGTTCTGCACTGAACACAGGCGAATTACGTTGTTTCTCAGGTTCAGTAGTTAACTGTCGTAAGTCAACATATACTGATTATATTTTTCAGTAAGCTGGCAGATGATGTGTTAATCTGTGTTTACAGTTTCTCAAATTAATGACAAGTGAGTTAAATTTTGGAAGCAACTATCCTTCACTGTTTATTGATAATTTGTGAGGACCCAGATTGGCCCCCAATTCCCTTACTTGGCGTTCCGTCCTTGTGATTCGAGAAAAGTTCCAGTACAACACACTGTATTGGACTAGTGAAGCATTTAGTACATCATGGGCGATGAGTCATTCTCTTCTACCTTTACTCTCTTGAAAACTTGTTTGGCCAATGCAGCTCACCCTCTTTTGGTTCCTTTTGAACTAATGTACTTTCTTTACTTCTTTCTAGAATTTCCTGTATCAGTTATGCAAAGGAGTTGCACACTGCCATGGCCATGGTGTCCTTCACCGGTTGGATTTCTGTTGCTGAACTCGTCAGATGAATTCAACATCGCATTTTCCACTTATATGGTTCATGCTCAAATTTATTTATAGGGATTTAAAACCACAAAACCTGCTGGTGGACAAGGAGAAGGGGATACTGAAGATTGCTGATCTTGGTCTTGGTAGAGCTTTCACTGTGCCTATGAAAAGCTACACCCATGAGGTACTTGGTTACCATCCGGAGTTGGATTGCCTAATGCAGTTTTAGTTTTTAACAGAGTTTCTGAGCATGATCCAGTAAGCTCTTTATATTGTGTATTTGTGTAGATTGTGACACTTTGGTATAGAGCTCCTGAAGTTTTGCTTGGAGCAACACATTACTCAACTGGCGTTGATATGTGGTCTGTTGGATGCATCTTTGGTAAGCCTATTCTCCTTTTTCAGCCTTTAATCAAGATGCCATTTACTATGCCTTGGTGCTGAAAACTTGATGCATTATATGTATATAATATATGGAGTCAAATGCAATAACAGATGCATGTTCATGAGTACAAGGAATTTAGAAGTGCCCCCACAATCCAAACTGTCCACATCATTTAATTTATGACCAACCAAATAGCACATTGTGCTTAGGCTTAAAATATTGTCCTTGCTCCTCTTGATTAAGAGATGGTGTATTCAAATGATTTTGTACTTATGCTGAAAACTTTTACCCCATTGTGATGTTCATAACTTTTTAATGCAGCTGAAATGGCCCGACGGCAGGCCCTCTTTCCTGGTGACTCTGAGTTGCAACAGTTGCTTCACATCTTCAGGTCCTTTTCTTTTCCTTCTGTATTCAGTCGTTGCTACCATAATAATATGAGCAGCACCTTCCTTAGTTGCTAGGATAGTATCATTCTGATAATTGTGAAGTTGTTCTCTTATCCTGTTGAAGGAACGCTGCACATAACATTTTGCTGCAGTTCTTGTATTTCATTAGTTCTTTCTTGGGATAATCTGAATGTGTTATTAAATGAGATGGTAGTTTGATTTTCAATACTCTTCACTGTTAGACACTACTCCAATGGCTAAATTACACTTGAATTCTTGATTATCTTAACTTTCAAGGAATAGCTTGCTTGCACATATTAATGTCATTCTATATCAGTCTGGTTCTACAAACCTGTATTGTATTGACCAAAATATGCTTTTCGAAAAAAGGTTGCTGGGAACACCTACTGAGGAGCAGTGGCCTGGAGTGAGTGATTTGAGGGATTGGCACGAGTTTCCACAGTGGAAGCCCCAGAGTTTGGCACGTGTCGTCCCAACACTGGAACCTGAAGGCGTTGACCTGCTATCAGTAAGTTCTAAGAGTGATGTACATGCTGATTTACTGTGTTCTCTTAAATTCAAAGTGTTAATCAACCAACCTAAGATACCTTGCTTCAATTACTCACCTGAAGTCGATCCATTTATTTTTGTCATATTTGAAATAGGTCTGTGCATATTTTGTTTTGGTGCCTTGCCCCAATATGTGACTTGTTTAGTGCATTTATTGTTAACACGCTTCCTAAAATCAATATCTGGTTATGCTTTAAAAAAGAAAAGTGTAGTTACAGTTCCATTCGGATGTTTCACCATGCCTTTGAACAAGAAACTGAGCGATGTTCTGTTTCTAAAAAAGAAAGAAACTGAGCTGACAGTTTGTATTCATGTGTTGCAGAAAATGCTTCAGCTTGATCCTTCAAACAGGATATCAGCTATAGCTGCGATGGAGCATCCATACTTTGACAGCCTTGACAAGTCCCAGTTCTAGCCATTGTACCATGCGATTCAGAAGCGAAGGCGCTTACTCTCTTTTAGTGAGATTTTCAAATGGAGATATGAATTTCACTTGCCATCTAGGCAACTGGTTCATACTTTTTACCGATCTGTTAGTGAGTGAAAATTGGCATGCCTATCTTTTCATGTGAGGGTCATATATGTTTCACCTTTCCTGTTGTACTGAGCATCGTTGTTTGTTGTCTTAAAAACATGTTGTGGCATATAACAAGAGTTGCCTGTGGGAGGCCTGTGATAATGCTCTTTATTTCTCAACATCCATTTTCTTCAGGGTGGATGTGAAATAGGAAATCTGATTTCCTGATTACAAGTTTCAGCTTTCCTTTTTGTTTCTTTTAATAAGCATGTGATTTCATTTTTCTTCTCTCTCCCATGACGCCATCGCACCAGCTCACATTAACAAAGTTCAGTAACCAAGCTGAAATTCATGAGGTACAGATAGCTAGAACATATATGTATTAGGGGACAGACTAAACCAGTTGAGGTTAAAGAATACTTGTCAAACAACTAAGATGGTCAGAATAAAAGCAGTAAGTCAGCTTGGAGGAGATACGTATTGCAAATGACAGTCAAGTTTGGGCATGAAAGAAACCGGCAAGCAAAATGCATTAAAAGTGGTCAAACTTCAGTGTTGATATCCTAGAAAGTGACAAAATACCCAGTGCTCCCATTTGAAAAAGCCCCAAAGTGTGCTTAAAATTTCTACCAAAAATATTAATGAATAGATGATGCAAAGTCCTATGTACTTTTAAAATTTGATATGCAACAAAAATATGTATATGGAGATAAAAAAAAAAGTGAAAACAACAAGTGAATAGTTGCAGTTGCAGGTATCAGATCAGACAAACAATATAACCTGCAACTATTCAAGTGTTGATTTCACTTTTTTTTAATCTCCATGCACAATTTTTTGTTGCGTCTTAAATTTTACATGAACATAAAAATTTGTGTCATTTATGAAAGGATCAAGATGACCAAGAAGAGGATTGAATTGATCTAAAAAGAAAGTGAAAATAAAACCTATCGATTTGTCAAATTTTACCAGTTGTGCCTAACAAGTATTCTATGGTTACCAAACAAAGTTTTGCACTCTAAATTTCAGTCCTACACCAACATGAAAATTTAATGTAAATTGCATGAAAGTAAGTGCGGAAAGTAAAGAAGCTTAGGAACACGATGATTTTTGAAGTACTTGGGGTTGTTTTCTTCGGTTTAGTTTGAAGTACTTGCAACTGTCTTCAGCATTCTAATACTACTATCCATTTTGCCAATAATTGTAACACTTTCATGTTTTACTAACAGGAATATACGCTAGACACTCGGAAGCTTCAAATCTATGAGTGGGTGTCTTCTCTACCGTGAGCCAAGATTGTGGAGTCTAATAGCCCATGATCGCCAACTTATTGTATTGTTAGTTGTAGTAGATTTATATTAGATTAAGTCTTTTATCCTACATTCCTACTTGATATGCTATATCACTTCTTGAACAAAACTTCCTTAGGTAATGATATCATAGTATGTTTATGTTTTGTTGTGGAGAATGATGGACCACTTATATTTTAAATCTATTGGTACTAACCTTTACATTTGACCTTTATATCAACTATCTTAAGACCCATGGTATCAGTGTATGTTAAATTTCTTTGAACATTCATATCGTCTATCTTAGGACCTATATTTTATGATTAATATGAGTTAATTCTGTAATCTCAAACACCTCGGCTCTGATTTAAACCTTAAAACCTATGCTATTAACTTGTAATGTTTAAACACCTCAACTCCACTCTGCTTTGTGCTTTTATTTCGTATCCACAACAAATTGTGCTTTTCAAAAAAACAAACTGTCGTGCCAGCTCAAGCACCTTGCGTGCGCTGATTACCAGTAGGCAACAGCACATCCTACAGTCTTGCAAGTCTGAAAGGCTTGTGCTGTGCAACTCAATTCAGCATCGGGCACAACCAACATATACAGTCATACAGAACACGATCACAAGTTAACAACAGATTCACACTGAACACCTGAGTTTATTCATTGCAGAGAGGTTATTTGTTCAGTTTTGTGTTTACATCCATCCAAGAGAATGATAAACATCAGGATTTCAACAATATAGCCACACGCTTAAAGATGCTACAAGTTACAGAGTTGACCAAGGGGAATGCTTAGCTAGGCAGCTAACAGGAGGAAGTTGCAGATCATGGCAGACCCATAGTGAAGCAAATTACAGAATCCTAAACAATAGAAACACCCTACAAAGCTGCCGTGCATACAGCAGAACTTGCACCGAACAAATGCTGACAAACATGTGAAAACAATCTGAATCAGCAAGAAGCAAGCATCTAAGAGACTGCAGCCACAATCTTAGTTGTCCACGGCAAGCTTCCGCCTCTTGTAATTAACCATCACCTCACCCTTGATGCCAACCACCATGGCGTTCCAGTCGTTCTCTGGGAACGGCGATACCAGCTCGAACTCAAAGTTCCTCAGTAGGTGTGTCCAGATCGCCTTGATCTGCAGGTAGGCGAAGGGCTCACCGAGGCACCCATGTCTGCCGCCACCAAAGGAGATGTATGAGAAGGCGCCTGCAGCCTTGTCCTCCTCCCTTCCAGGACCGAACCGGTCAGGGTCATATGAGTCAGGGTTCTTGTAGATGTGGGGCAGCCTATTGGCAAAGGATGGCGATGTCGCGACAATGTGGCCCTTGGGGATGTCGTACTCTTTGCCTTCCTTTGTTGTCACGGTGAAGTCGCTGTGTGATTGGCGAAGCAACATGATTAGCGGCGGGTGGAGACGAAGGGCCTCCTTGATGCACCGGTAGAGGACATCCATCTCTGCCAGGATGTCATGATCAATCTTGTCGCCATGCCGTTTCATGACATCCTTCTGCTCCTCTACGGCTTTTGCAAAGTACTGCTTGAAGCGAAGCATGTACGCCCCTGTCCAGGTTGAAGTGATCGAGCTGGTGTGCTGTCCAGCAAAGAGTGCTGCGATAAGTAGCCCAGTTACCTCACCCTCAGTGGTGGGGCGCCCATTCTTGTACTTGGAATCAATGAAGCACTGCAGCATGTCTTCCTCAGACTGTCCAGAGGCCTTGCGGGACTTGATGATGGTGGCAAAGATTTCTGCCAAACGTGCCCGTGCCCTGTCACGGCGCTTATGTGCAGGGATCGGGAGGTATGGGAAGAGGACACTGATTGGCTGCATCCCGTTGTCAAGGTCATGGAAGAGAGCAGAAACATCATCAAACAGCTTTTCTCGCACCTCCCTTCCCAGCAAGCACCGGCTAGCTGTCAGTATGATGAGGTGCTCCAACTCGTACTTCAAATCAACAGTGCCACTTTCTCCCCACTTTGAGAAGTACTCCTGCAGGAAAGGTTGGGGTTGTGCATGATATTAATTATCCAACATGGATACAAAAATATGATTAAAAGTAGCAAATTCAGAAAACTAGAAAGATCAGGATGACAGATGTGATTTATCATTTTATCTTGGCTTGCTAAGTAAATCATATCATGTTATTACTAATATGGAGGTTATTGAACCTTATTAGGCTAGATGTACAGAAAATCTGATACAGAGAATTCTCTGCATATACATGAAAATTTTGGCTTCATCATTAATGCTAAAAAGAACAGAAAATTATGAAAACCAATATTATGAGAAGATTTGCGTTGGTTCAACATTGGTGTAAGAGACACACTCCAGTAGCAACCTTAATATTATGAATAAAGGTGATGAGATTAACAAGCTCCAATGGAGCTATTGTGATGAAATTGAATTTGCAACATAGATGAGGTACTCAAAGCAGTTTTTCTTGCACTATGTGTACATCCAGGATGTGTTGCCGGAGTTTGGTAGTTTATCTTGCCATTCTGGTGTTTGTAGCCACATAAATTCAATTTTTTTCAGTAACAAGTTTACATGGAATATTTCAATGCAGTTCTGAATGAAGCTCAAGACCTAAAATTAATACTTAAATCAAGAATCTTAGGACAGGGCCATAATACTGAAACAGATCATCAGAACATAGAAAACAAACTTTAATACACAAGACCAGGGAAGATATAAAGAACCAAAAAAGTAGAATAAAAGAAAATGTCCCACTAGAAAAAGAAGAGCATGCAAGGCATCCCAAAAGCCCTACTTAAGGTCTGGAAGCATCAGCACAAAAAGGATGAAGATCATGTGAGATAGCCACGCATTGATTCCAAAAAGTTGCACATTAGTCATAATTTAGCCTCCTTTCCCAAAAGAAAAGGCAACCTGTAACTTTCCAAAGGGACTAGACAGTCCAATGAAGACGAATATGCTGGGCTCAAATGAATTTAGACCAAAATTATAACATCATGTTTACAGTCTTACGAAATGGAAATGAAGAGATATATCACAGATGTTAAGTCCTGTTCACTAAACTGTCCATGAAAGATACATATCACACCTGTAACTTACCAAAAATGCTCGAGAAGCACCAAACCAACAACTTTTAAGTAGAAATGCTCAGAAAATAATCATGAATGAAAACACATAAAGTATGAGGTTTATGGTACTCCTGTGCTACTATCATATTACAAACCCTGTCTCCCAAGTACTGAATTACCCCTAACATGTCCACAGTTACAGATCCACAAATCCAAACATACCAAGAACAAGCATCGCAATTACTGAATCGCCACCACATCAAATCCAAATATATCCAGAGACTAAAAACAGATCTTAAGACAGAGCAGCAAGTGAATCCTCACCTCAGCCTCAGCAACCATCTGGTCGACATAGCTGCGAAGCTTATTAGCCCGGAGCGCCTCGGTAAAGAACCTGAACTGCTCCTGCCTGACGGAGTAGTCGACATCGAAGACGACGCCAGGGCCGAAGGTGGGAACGTTGAACCTGTACACCTCCTGCTGGCTCATCTCGGCCTCGTTGCCCTTGAAGAAGTGCGCCGACACCTCGGGCCCGATGAGGAACGTGATCTTGCGGGTGATGATGGGCACCGTGAAGACGCTCCCCAGGCGCGCGTACTGCTCCTGGATCATCGGGATGGGCCCGCGCATGAACTTCACCAGCCCGCCCACCACCGGCGCCCCCGGGATCGTCGGCGGCAGGCGCTTCTTGCCACCCCCCGAGCGGAAGCTCAGGAGGAGCTTGAGGAAGATGACGGTGGCCACCACCAGCGCCAAGCCCGCGATGAGCCGCTGCTGCTGCGGGATGGAGGCGAGATCCATCGTCTGATTCATGGGAAACGAACGGCAGGTCCGTGGGTTAGGATCAGATCGCGGTCAATGTGGCTGTGGCAGTGGCAGTGGCAGACTGGATCAGATCAAATGGAGGCTGTGAACCTCGTTTGTATCGAAGAAATTCCTTTTTTTGTTCAGAACAAACGCTGAATGGCAGGCACTACAAGAGCAGAAATAAAAGGGAGATGCTCGGCGGCGGCGCCGCAAAAAATCATCGGTTCTGGGGAAAGATCTTACCTTTTGCTTTCCCTAAGCCAATTCGTCGGGACGGGGGCAGCGATGCGGGGGGAGTGTGGAGTCCGGGTGTGTTTATATAGGTGTGCCACTGCCAAATGGAGGAGGGAGTGAGGGTGGGACGGCGAGAGATCCCGTGGTTGGGGGAGGTGTGAGGAGGAGCGGATGGAAGGTTTACGGGGGGCGGATGGGAGGTTTACGGGGGGCGGGGAGCCGGGGAAGAGAGAGAGAGAGGCAGGCACGCCGCCGGCGCCGCTGCTATACCGCTAGAGCGCTCCAGGGGCCCACCTGTTGTCGCATGCTGGCGCACACGTGGGACGCACATGTGTGGCGTGGCCGTGTGGGGCGATTGCAACCTGCCTACCTGTGCCTCGGATCCTGCGGTTGCGTGGTGGTGTGTCGAGGTGCTTGTCAAATCCATCTTTTAGATGCCAAATCTCTTGTAAATGACGTCTTGGTGCTGCTTCAATTATTCTTGCAAGAATTTTATGTGTTGCTATATGGTTCATTTTAGATCTGAGTTCATACCTGTGCTTTACAACTGACTAATCTAATACGAAAATTGTATGATTAAATTTATCCTTTGAAAACGCTTTGAAAATGCTATGAAAAGAAACTGTCGTCAAGAAGTGTAATGGTGGATGCAAAATGTCCTACAAATGGTGAACCGGCTGTTTTTTTTTTACATAGATGTCCTAGTTGTTCTATTGTTTTTTTCTTCTAAAGTATAAACTGATTGAATTAAAGACTTACTAATGTGATACATGTTTATTTAACAACTGAACAAGACTTCCTTAGCTATATGAGTATTTATGTCATTTCACACTGAGCACAGGCAATCTTCTTATAGAAAAATCGAGATTGACAAACATGTTGCTTCTCTAGACAGAAGGTTCTTTAAACAGCTTCTCAAAAAATAATTAAAAAAACCCTCCTCTTTAAAAAAAGCTGTCCCAAACAGGCCTATGGCGTTTCCAGGATGGAGCTCTGTGAAACTCCGGCCATACTTTGAGCTCGAATCTGGACCCATGGCTGCTATTTGATTCTGTTTGATTGATACTGCCGACGCTTTCACCTCCGCCTTCGGACGTCGTCAGAAAATCGTGCCTCGAGTGTTTATGAAAATAGATGAAGGCTCTCTCCAGTTCGATTTTGAACTGTTGGCCATGTAATAATAAATTAAAGAAAAAAAATGATAGGCAAGTTCACACATCATCTACAGGCTTCCATGAACATCTCCATCATCCAAGGCCATGTTTAGTTTTCTCCAATTCCAGAATTTGACACTATGCAAAAAAGAAGATTCCCTGTCACATCAAACTTGCGGTACATACATGGAGTATTAAATGTTGACGAAATTAAAAACTAATTGCACAGTTTGGTTGTACTTTACGAGACGAATGTTTGGAGCCTAATTAGTCAACGATTAGATAATTATTATCAAATAAAAAAACAGTACTGTAGAAGAAAAATAAAGCTATGGACCGATTCGGTGGCCGAACTAAACGAGGCACAAAACAAAAATAAAGCTGGACAGCTGCCACATCATCACTCAACTGGCACTTGTTTGGTCTGGCACTCTGCCACTATGCTTTTGGACCCATCTGGCTCATCCTTTAAAGAAAACAAAAAGAAAAAGAAAGGAGCTAACCACCAACCACTTTCATGTGATGAGAGGCAGACCTGATCTTTGCCCCTATCATATTACTGCCCGAGTCCTAAGCAAAATCCAAACATCCAGCCAATGCAATTCCTCACCATGCATGTCCACTAGACACTCCGATCCAGGATTAGCAGCCAATTAGCCGGTAAAATACATCTCGGCTCAAGAGCTGTAAAGCAGAATACCACAGGTGCCAACGGTATGGGCCTCAAAACCAGATGGTGTGTCTTCATGGGTGCACGATCACTTTGTTTGCAGGCAGTATGTGTTGGAATATGTGGGCTTGGCCTTGGCCCAATATAAATTCTTATTAATGCCATTCCAAATAATCTCAAATGACCATTCATATGTGTATACAGGCAGGGGAGTGGCTGTTAGGAATTTAGGTATTTTCATGTTTAATTTAATCCAGAAAAATAGTAGTAAATTCGTGACAACAAGTATGTACACGTGTGAACTACTAGTGGCAACTATTATGAACATACTGATCATGTTTAAGAGCACAAAAACCTTACTGAATATCGAAACAGCAAGATTAGAAGTATACCCAGTGGAGGGACCTATACTCAAGGTACCGGTGGCTCCATTCACACGAGTTGACATCGTGTGTTGCTCGATGTAGCGGACCACAGTCGATGCAGGACGATGTTCGCAGTGCAGTCCCTCGAACGTCCACCGGGAAGTAGACGATCCGAGGAAGAAGAAGGAGAAGACGTCGGCAGTCATCAGGAAGAAGCGAGCAGTCGCGGAGACGCTCCCAAAAACATGATCGCCCGCACACCCATGCTCTCCCAACACTCCGTGCGCGCGGAGGATTGGGACAGGGAAACTCGGGAGCAACTCAACAGAAGAACGATGGTGCTGGATGTGTTATGTCTCATCCGTGCGGCTGAAGGCGAGCACACCTTTCTTATAGTCACGGAAGATGAAAGGTGAAGTGTAGAGAGGATGAACCTGGACATCATGAAATGTTCATGAATTACTAGTAACCTCTGCCATAAATATGGGGGTTATTAGTAACTACAACCATAACCATGGGAGTTACTAGAAACCGCAGCCATAAATTTAACCGTTACAAGTTCAGTCATCAACTACATTTAGTCCACCATTTTATTGCACCTAGCATCTAATATAGCCTCAGAATTTATTTGATTTAGTTATTAAATAAAATATGGGTCATGCCCACATTAAATCTAACAATCCCCACCAAATTCTATGGCGCATATGAAATGCTCTCAATCTCTGTTGTTTGATATATCAGTGTTTCAATGGAGACTATTAAGTTGAACATCCATCTAGAACATAGGTTACACTTTTTCACAACTGAACAATGGACTATGCCTTGAATTGACAGTTTTGTACGAAATAAGTTTCACCTAAGTCCTTTACTGATACTAGGTTGCCTAAAGCATCCCCTCTGGTTGGAGCATATAAGTCACACTCCTGGGCCTTTCATGAGTATTTAGAGATCACCAAAATCTCATAGACTATGACCAGAAGTCAAACTCATATAGGTGTATTCCTCAAAAGATGTTATGTAGGATAACACCTTTGCTTAAGTAAGCCACTTGAAACACATTAAAGTAAAAACCAACCTGCTTTACAGCAAAGGAAAGACGTGCATCTGACATGGGCCTAGTTAATGGTCTTTTCTCACAGTCTACCCCTAGCTTTTTCATCATCCTACTTCACAGGATCTTCGATCACATAGAGCAGGTTACCACCATGGTAGACTTGATGTGGGTCTCAAGCACATCTCACTCGATGCACTATCTATCACATTACGTGATAGCCCCTTAGTGAATTGATCTGCCAGATTTTTAGACGTATGGACATAGTCCAATGCTATCACTCTGGAATTTCTCAAATTTTTGACAGATTTTAGCCGCCGCTTAACATGTCTTGTGGATTTCATGTTATCCTTAGAATTGTTTACCTTCATTATCACAGTCTGGTTATCATAGTTCATAGAAATAGTCGGTATAGGTTTTCTACTACAGGTAAATCCGTAAGGAGTTCACGAAGCCACTCGCCTCAACGCCGGCGGTGTCTAATGCTGTGAGTTCTGCTTCCATGGTTAACCTCGTTAAGATGATCTGCTTGCAAGACTTTCATGAAACAGCGCCACCTCCAAGTAGAAACACATATCCACTTGTGGTATGAACCTCATCAGCACCAAATATCCAGTTCGCATCACAATAACCCTCTAGTACCTTTGGATACCTGGTATAGTGAATGCCATAGCTCACAGTACCTTTCAGGTAGCGCATTACTCTCTCAAGAGCACACCAGTGATTATCTCAAGGATTTGAAACAAACCGGCTTAGTTTGCTCACAGCAAATGAGATATCAGGCCTCGTAGCGCTAGCTACATACATAAGCGAACCAATAATTTGGGAGTATCTCAATTGATCCCTTGCTATTCTCTGATTTTTTCTCAATAGCACACTAGGGTCATAAGGCGTAGGAGCAGGTTGACAGTCACTAAACCCAAAGCAACTTAAAACCTTTTCCACATAGTGGGATTGTAGAAGTGTAACCCCACCATTGCCTTCTCTTAACAACTTGATATTAAGAATAACATCAGCCTCTCCCAAATCTTTTGTCTTAAAATTATTAGACAAAAATTCTTTAACCCCCTTGATCACATCAAGGCTAGTTCCAAAGATCAGTATGTCGTCAACGTACAAACACATGATCACTCCTTCATCCCCACCATACCGATAATACACACATTTGTCAGCTTCATTCACAACAAAGCTGGCAGATGTTAAAGTTCCATCAAACTTCTTATGCCATTGCTTAGGAGCTTGTTTAAGGCCATATAAGGAATTCAATAATTTACACACCACGCCTTCTTGACCATTTGCTACAAATCTATCTGGCTAATCCATATAGATCTCCTTCTCTAACTCTCTATTAAGGAAAGATGTCTTAACATCCATCTGATGAACGAGAAAACCATGAGAGACTACGAGAGAAAGTAACACTCGAATTGTGGTCAATCGAGCAACAGGTGAATAAGTATCAAAGAATTCTTCACCTTGTTTCTGGGTATAACCCTTGGCCACAAGCTTTGCCTTGTACCTCTCAATAGTACCAT